TTTCAGCTCGGACTCAATGTATCGAAGTGCGCATTTGGAGTTGGGTCAGGGAAATTCCTGGGATACTTGGTCACCAGAAAGAGCATTAAGACAAGCCCGGATCAAATCAAGGCCATCTTGGAGTTAAAGAGCCCAACATTGGCAAAACAAGTGCAGATGTTGACTGGAAGGGCTACAGCCCTAAATAGATTCATAAGCAGAAGTTCTGACAAATGCAAACCTTTCTTTAGTTTAGTAAAGAAAGTCACAGACTTCTTGTGGACAGAATAGTGCGAAGTCGCCTTGGCCGACTTGAAGAAATACTTGACCACCGCTCCAGTTCTCTTAAATTCAGTACCTGGAGAGGAGCTGTTCTTATACTTGGTGGTTTCAGAGCATGTAGCAAGTGCAGTGGTAATCAGAGAAAAAAAAGAAGAACAGAGGGCAGTTTACTACGTGAGTAAAACCCTAGCAGATGCAGAGACTAGATACCTACCCTTGGAGAAGCTAACACTGGCTTTAGTAATGGCCTCCAAGAAGCTGAATCATTACTTTCAAGCCCACAAGATTGTGGTGTTAACTGAGCATCCTTTGAAATCCCTGTTGCAGCAAGGAGATCTGATAGGTAGGATAGCCAAATGGGCAGTGGTGTTGGGCCAATATGACCTATAATTCAGACCCAGAACAGCAATCAAAGGCCAAGTTTTGGCCAATTTCGTGGCCGAGTTCACACCAGGCGCCATCATACGATGTCCAGGTGAAAAAGAAGAAATCCAACTGGGGATAGCCGAATAGAGGAAAGAAAAGAAACTCAGGCCCTACAGTATTTACGTCGGCGACTTCTTCCGCTTGTTTATTGATGGAAGTTCAAACCGACAAGGAGCGAGGGCAGGAGTAGTGCTAGTATCGCCGGATGGACAAATGCTGGAATAATCCATTCATTTGGGGTTTAAGGCCTCAAACAATGAAGCAGAGTATGAAGCACTGATCGCAGGATTAAAGTTGGCAGCAGCAATGGAAGCCGACGAGGTAATGGTCTTCTGTGACTCCCAGCTTATCGTCAACTAGGCAATAGGCGAATACGCAGCCCGAGATAAAAGGATAATGACCTATGTAAAGGAGGTGGGCAAACTGATAGCATTATTCCAAACTTGCCGACTACAACAAGTTAGCCGAGATGACAACAGTCATGCTGATGCCTTGGCCAACCTAGCTAGTGCAATGAAACCAGGAGAGGCAAAGACAATTATGGTTGACTACTTGTCAGGTCCAAGTGTAGAATCATTGAACACAGAGCATGAGGCAATGTGTTTGGAGATGGGACCAAGCTGGATAGATGCGATAATAGTATTCCTTAGAGATGGAAAACTGCCAGATGATCCTAAAGAAGCACACAAGATCAGACTGAAGTCAGCAAGATTCAGCCTGACAGTAGAAGGACATCTTTACAGAAGATCTTTTACTAGTCCCCTTTTTAGGTGTGTGCATCCTTCACAAGTTGAAGACTTCCTATACGAAATACACAAAGGAGTATGTAGAAGCCACGCTGGGGGCAGGTCACTTGCTCATAGGGCCATTACTCAAGAGTACTAGTGGCCCTATATACAGTAAGATGCCGAAGCTTATGTCAGAAGGTGTGAGAAGTGTCAAAGGTTTGCACCTTTGATACACCAACCTGCAGCGGATTTGAACCCAGTGTCCAGCCCTTGGCCATTTGCCTAATAGGGCATGGATCTTGTTGGACAACTACCTCAAGCGACTGGACAAAGGAAGTTCTTGCTAGTGGCAACAGATTACTTTACCAAGTAGGTAGAAACTGAACCCCTTGCTAAGATTCGGGACATTGAGGTAAAGAACTTCATATGGAAGAACATCATCACCAGGTTTGGGATCTCAAGGGCGATAATAGTAGACAATGGTACACAGTTTGACAATAAGCTAATCAAAAACTTCTACGTAAAGTACAAAATCAAGAATTATTACTCTACTCCAAGCTTCCCTCAGAGTAATGGTCAAACAGAAGCATCCAACAGGGTTATCTTGGATGGGATCAAGAAGAGGCTGGAAGCAGCAAAGGGAAAGTGGGTGGATGAGTTGCCCAATGTACTCTGGGCATATCGGACTATGCCGAGAAGCTCAACTAAGGAATCCCCATTCGCCATGGAAGCAGTTATTCCACTAGAGGTCAGCATCCTAGGGATTAGGACCCAGGGAGTAGAAATGGGACCAATGAGGCATTCTTAGCCCGAGATCTGGATCTGTTGGAAGAAAGAAGGGAGAAAGCAGCAATTCAGCTGGGGGCATACCAGCAGCAGCTTGCCAAGGCTTACAATAAAAAGGTCAACCCAAGAGAGTTTCAAGTTGGCGACCTCGTCTTGGGAAAGGTCGTCGGCAACAAGAAGGATCCCAGAGAGGGCAAGCTTGGCCCAAACTGGGAGGGACCTTATAGAATCATCTCGGTCCTAGGCAATGGGACATATCGACTTGAAGACATTGAAGGCAAAGAGTTGCCAAGACCTTGGAACACTTGCAACCTGAAGTTTTTCTATCATTAGATTTCCTTTTGTTTTTTTTTTAAGTCTTTTGTTATTAGCCGAAATTATAATAAAATTTTAGCTCGAATTTTTTAAACTTGTGAAAAACGATTGACCAGTCCTTAGGCGATTTTTCTGCTTGAAATATGACGAATAACTTAGACTTATTATATGGCAAAGTTGAATTATACTTGCACATAATAGAGTTGAACTAAGTTGGCGATGTTTCTGATTGAAACATGATGAGTACCCCTAGTAATTCGTAAAATTTTGTTTTTTCAATTTATTTAGATATTATGTTTGTATTTTTAATTGAAAATTAATTTAAATATTGTGCTGTGTTTTCAATTTACTTTCAATTTGGAAATCTTTTTATCAAATGGCAAGTCTTCATATTTGGCATTTTTGTATGAAAAATATAAAGCTTAATTTTGTCATTTTTTAAAAAATCAAATTAAATAGTTTTTGAATAAAAAAAGTAATGAAATGATTTTGATAATTTTGTCATTTTAGCATGGTTTTCTTATATGTATTTATTATTACTATTTGATAATTTACTTGATAATCTTTTAATTATGTTGAGTTTGATTGTTATCCCCCAAAAAATATTAATAAATTGTTATATTATGTTCAAAATTTGTAAAAGTTTAAATCGTTAAATCGATTCGCATCCATCCGCCAATTCGTTAATTGGCGTCTGTCAATCCAATTGATAGAGACGAATTAATTTTTTCCAATCTATCAATCTAACAGACAAATGACAAATTAAAAATTTCCTACCTAGAACCGAAGCACGAACTCCTCTCATATGAAAGGTGATGGAACCCTAGGGTCTACTCTAAAAATTATTAGAGGCTTTGAAACTCAAAATCGAACCAAACACACTATTCATGACTTTTTACTTACGATTAAACTAATCATTCATAATCTATATATTGAAATTAAACCAAACCAACTTAATATAATTTGAGTTCGACTGAACTATAATCATAAAATAATTCATTAATGAGGAGGTTCAAAGGCTGCAAGACTTGACTGGAGATGCTCCCAGGATTAATGAGGAGCTGCCAGACTCAGTCAGGTGGACTGCATCTCCTTCAGGTCAATTCACTGTGGCATCAATGGGGAAATGGTATGAGGTGATTCAAGGCCCAAAATTGCAGGTTCCCAATCTGTTATGGAGTGGTGTGGCCCCTCCAAAAGCTCAATTTTTGAGCTAGTTGGCATGGAGGGGCAGGGTTAAAACCATTAGACTTTTACAGAGGTTTAGGGCCTTAAGTAGTAATGTGGGGAATCTGTGCCCTTTCTGCAAGATGGAAGCAGAGTCCGTGGATCATATGTTCCTGCAATGCTCGGAGATTTGGAAGGTTTGGTCATCTTTGCTTCAATGGTGGGGAGTATCTTGGGTCATTCCTGCTACAGTTGATGGTGTGCTGTTATGGTGGCTGGGAACAAATTTTAAGAAGTCAGTTGTGAGGATTTGGAGGCTTGTTCCAATTGCAATGTTATGGTCAGTATGGAGGTTAAGAAATGAGTGTGTTTTTAAAGGAAATCAGCCTAATATGGATGAGCTTGGTGAAATAGTGAAAGTTAGGGTTGGGTTGTGGGCCAAGTCTGGGCTGCCAGAGTTTCACTATTCAGTGCATGATGTAGTTGCTAATCTGAATCAGGTGACTTGTTGTTTATAGGGCCAAGTCTGGGAAGTCTGCTAATCTGTGTCTGCCATTCTGTGTCTGCTGGTCTGCCAATCTGTGTCTGTTGGTCTGCTCTGGCATGCTCATGCTAATCTGAATCAGTATGCTAATCTGATTTAGATCAGATCCTGTGTGTTGCCTTGTTGTGTGTAGCCAGGTTTGAATCAAGGAAGTCTGCTGCTGGGATGTTGCTGGCAGATCTGTTGCTGGTATGTTGCTGGCAGATCTGTTTGAATCAGGTATGATCAAAGGAAGTCTGCCTTATGCTGTGTGTAGCCAGGTATGAATCTAGGAAGTTTGCTGCTGGTTTGCTGCTGGTTGTTGCTTCTATGCTGTTGTTGGTCTGGCTGTAGGCTACTTCGGGTGTGAGAAGCTGTAGTAGTGTAACTCTGTTCTGTGTTCTTTTCTTTTCTATTCTCTTTTGTTTCCTTTAATGGTTTCTCACCAATTTAGGGTCCTGTGCTATCTGCTCTTTTCTCTTTGTTGATGTAAGTTTTGTATGTTATACTTTCTTCATCAATAAAGTTTTCTTTTGTTGATCAAAAAAAAAAATAATAATTCATTAAAAAAAAATAGATTAAAATAATTGATAAGATAGAATGTCACATCTAACTCATAATTATTATTATTTTTTTCTCATAACTATCAAATCAATTAACTTTTCAAACACAATTATTTTAGTCAAATTAAAATAATTAAAAAATTAAATAACTAATTAAAATAATTAACTTCTCCAACAAGGCCATTAGCATCATTATAAATTTTGCTTAAATTCAATATTACATCATTGGAAGTATGAACTAACAATAATAATAAAACAACAATACATCAGTACAATAAATAAGTGTGAAATATTGTAACAGAGTACAAAGAAGAATAAAATCATTATTTTAAAGTTTTAAAATAAAGAATGGCCTAGGATACACCATCTATTTACTTGAAGACTGGCATCTCAACTTAAATAATACTTGTTCCTGGCTTGACTTGAACTTCGATGTAATCCAACAAGTTCATTATTTTTAAATTTAATTAACATCAACCAAACTAAATTAAATTGATAAAGATTATTAAGTTAAATATTCAAAATGTATATGGTATCTAGCGTATCCCAAGTTAAAACATACTCTATATATATAACCATCTCCAAACTCCTTCCTAATTAATCCCACCCCTCTTTATTTAATGTTTGTGTATGTAATCACTAAAACTACATATTATTATTATCGTTATAATGATTATTTATATAAGGATCAACAGCAAACTCCACAACAGATCGGAGCTCATCCCAGTCCTCATACTTAACAAAGTTGTTCGCAGCGTCAGGGCTAAGAAAGCTCGAGTACGATGCTGTAGTGGTGGATGAAGCTTGAGCTTGAACTTGAGATTGAGATACATAGCTCAACTGGTCTACAACCATGAGGTTCGTTTCATCGACATGATCATTGATAAATTGCTTTTTCTCATTCTGTCGAATACCCTGAGGAGCTCCCCCGAAGCTAATGAAATCTTCATTACTGTCAGACTCATCCACAGTAGTACTGCATGCTTTAGAACTTGCAGGATTTCTTTTAGCAGATAGTTCTCTCCAATCTGGTATGCACTTTCTGTATGATACATTTCGCTTGAATATTCGACAAAGTGTCCAAACTTCCTGTAAAACCCATCAACAAACAAGCATAAAGATATGATACAAATGAATTTTAACCCAAAATAATGGAGGTTTAATTTAGATAAAAGGATAAATAACATTTTGAGATTTTCTATTTTATATCAAATCTTACTTTAGTCTATCATTAACAATCAACTGCCTATATTCCTGTTAGTTTTGTGTTAAATTGTACAACAGAAATTGTCGTATCACTCTCACATAATGCATTTTTTAAAATAAAGATAAAATTTATTTACTTTCTTTTCCTTCTTTATTTCTTGATTGTATTTTATAAATCCTTTACCATCACCACCTTTTCCCGCTATTGTCCTAATCAGTGGCAGAATAAAGAAATTATGTTAGAAGGACACTTAGTAATTATAATTTTTTATTTAAAAAAAAATATGAGCAATATTAAGATAATCATAATTTTATGAGATAAATTTAAATATAACAAATTACATATTCATTATTAATAAAGATAAATAAAAATTCTATAATAGTGTGGAATAGCTCGGTGTGAGATGATGACGTAAGTGTGCAATTTTATCACAAAAAATTATGGATCAAAATTTCTAATTTTAAAAAATAAAAACACATCATTTATATCTCAAATTATTATAAAATCTATTTAATTTTTATTTGACAGAAAAATATTAAAGAGATAACATTGCTTATAAATGATGTGTTTTAAATGAAAATTATTAAACAATCTTAGAGTATCATATGACGTTACCTACATGATGTTCAAAGTATAGAAAATCACAAATCACACTAAGTGGTATGTCAACTGCTTGAAAATAATGAATTCATTATATTCAATCTATAATGTTTTTCGCTATACTATTGATTTAAACTATTATATAAATAATATCACAAGTGTTCTTAAAGTATTAAATAACTATTTGTTATGAACAATATAATAAATCATTAGTCAAAAAATATATTAAGAAAAAAAAAAGAAAATACATTTTACAAGTAACAATAACAAAAAAAAAAAATTCAAAACTGAGGAGGACACATGACCTGACCTATGCTGCCTCCGCCCTGGTTCTAATCTTTTCTTGCAGTCCCCACCCTTTTTCCACTACTCCTGCCAACCCCATTCTCGCTATCCCAAGCCTTCACCACCCGCTCCCCACAACCCCTTTGGCAGGAAGGGGAGTGTGGTTGTCGGGCAAATGGTGGGGGGTGGCGGGGTCGTGTGGTGTGAGTGGTGAAAGATTAGGGGCGGGTGAAATGGTGGCAATGGCAGGAAAGGGTGGTGGTTGATGATTGGTTCAACAAAAATTACAATACAAACAGAAAATTCAATGAAAAAATAGAAAGATAAAGAAAAAGAAAAAATATTACATTTTTAGCCTAAAAATGTTTGGTCTCATGACAAGTAAAGAACCGAATAAGATTTAATGTAAAGGGCAAAGTGCATAGTGTATAAAACAGTAGTTTCTTACAGCTTCTTGAGGGATGGTTTTAACATCCAACTCCATGTGTTTGGTACTTTTGTCATCATGATCGGCCGGAAGGCGAAACTCATGCATCATCCAATCAGTCTTGGTCCCCTTCCCAGCGCTCCCTCGATAGTACACCAGTGATTTCTTGAGCCCAATGCATTCACTCCGGTCTTGTTCACTAGCACCGGCACCGGTATCAATAGAATATATCGGCCTGTCGATACCGGTTGCCTTCCAAAACCCAGAACCAGAGCCAGTCACTCTATTAGGTCTTATACTGTTTCTGTATTTTCTCCCTCTTTTGCAAAAGAAGTACCATTCCTTGTCTCTCACGTTACCACCCTCTGCATATTCCCCCAAAACAAATTCATTACCATACCAAAACGCGCACACACACACTGTTTTTTTCATTGGTAAGCAAATTTTATTGTAAAATAACAGAAGAAAAAAAAAAGAAAAAAAAAGGCTCAAGATCCGAATATAAGTTTATGAATAAAGAAATTGATCATATAATTGAACACACGAGTCTAACTATCACCTTTGAAAATTTTAATGAAAAATAAAATGTTTTATTTATTTAGCCATTATAAAATCAATGAAGGTTTTAATCATTCAATTACAAAAGAGAAGGTTCTTACAAAATTTATGTTAAGGGAGCGACAAGGTTTTTAGGGTAGTGATTACATGTCTGTCAATCTCACAAACCAGCCCTTTTCTACTCTATATTATTTGACTTGCATTCCTATTGTATATCTGTCTAATTATTTTATTGATTTAAATGGTATTGTTGGGTAATATGTTTATTATGATAGTTCAAAAGCCCGAAGAAGTAAACAATCTTTTGCCATATGGATCAGTGTTGTTTTTGTGCTATGAGATAGATTTCCTCAAGAATATTATTCGTCAATCAACTGTGTCGATCGATGTCTTTTATACTTCTATTGTTTACACAACTGAGATTCAGGTTTCATCATACTTTCATGCATGTTAATATCTCTATTCTATATATATGTATACAAATCCATGCCTAAAACATCATTTGATGATGAAACCCTAATAAAATTTCTATAGTTTTCAGGAATTACACAATTACACCGATGCATATAAAATAGTACTGTGTCAAGCATATTATCATGACAACAAAACCCTTATGTGAGCATGATTTTATTTTCATAAATCAGTATTCAGTATTTGAAAGTGGTCTTGAATCTTAAATGGTTGATTAACTTGCATCTTGAAACGATGAACAACAAGTTAATTAAGATTTAGCTCTTACTTGCAAGATTATCTGCGTTTCTTGAATCTTAAAACGCTAATTATCTTGCAAGTCACCTGTGATTGTATTCTTTTGAGCCTTTGAGCCAAATCCTAATTAAGAAAGAAAAAATCAAAACAATTATTTATAAGAAACGAAAAAAAAAAAAAAAAACATAGATGAAACTCGAAGAGTAATAACATACTTGGAAGATCCCAGGGGTCGTATTTGTAGATATCAACCTGTTTGATTAGTTCGATTCTGAGAGGTCGCTTCTCAACCTTGCGACGAAGATAAAACCCTACAAGTTCTCCGTCAGTAGGATGAAACCGGAACCCAGGAAGTGGAACATCATCATCATCATCATCCTTTCTAGCAGAATTCATCTCACTCATCTTCTCTACTTCCATGACTTTTTCTCTTTAGAGCTCTCCAAATGTGCTGTAGATGGAGAAGATAACTCAGGAGACACTTCAAACTTAGAGAACTTTCTTATATATTAATATCAATAATCAAGTCATGATCCTTGACTCTATTTGGGTCAAGCCAAGAAACCGATCAAATCCTTTCTGCCAACTACTTTTCTTGTATGTATTATATAACCAAAGTTGAATTATTCTTTTCGTTCTTTCTTTTTTCCTTTTTTTTATGGTTGAAATTTTACATCTTGATTTTAAAGGACAAAAAAAATTAAGATGAAAAGAAAAAATGTAAATAAAGTGGTAATTAGTATGTCAAAATGACAAACTGATTTCAATTTTTTCATAAAGCATAATAAAAAAAATTTAAAAATTGTCAAAGTGAAAACTCATTTAAATAAGGAAAATGAGTGAGAGTACTAATTAGTGTCATCACTAATGATGTGGCAGTGGGTTCTATTCACTGCCACAGTGTGTGTTGTGTTGTGCTTGTGCTTTTTTTTTTTTTTTCCTTTTCCACCTCTTTAGTTTTTTTTTTTGATCAGCAAAGAAAAATTTCATTTAACAACATGAAATTAAAAATACAGGAAGATGAGATGCATTGAGAGAGATTCGGAAGTATAAAAATACCCCTACTACTGCTACTCGCATCCATACAATCAACCCTTAAGCCTCTCGATTTTTTAAATTAAAAAATTAAGAAGAACTTAACTAAAAAATTAAAATACATGAATCTCCATATAAAAACCCACAAAATCACCCAAACCAAACAAAAAAACAAAACAAGACCCAAAACAAACTAATTTCACCGCTTTAGTGGTGGGTTAAAGTTACCAAATTAAAAGACTCTAGCATAATTGTTTAAATAAATAAAAATATAGTACTTTGATGTACAAGTAGTACTTTGATGTACAACTAATCAAGGACCGATTTTTTGACAAACTATCTCACTTTGACAAATAGTAGATGCCAGCCCAAACAATTTCTATTCACACTCATATACCAAAGGCTTAAATGGGAAGCATTAAAATATGTCCTTTAGATTCAAATAAATACCATTCTAAATTTCATTCCTTTATCATTTCATTCACAAGTAATTTGTAAAACAACAATGCATTAAAAAAACAAAAACAAAAACAAAAAACAAAACTACATTATTATTCCCCACACATTCTCATTATTGTTTGTAAAGAGATAATTGCTATAAGTGACTTGTTTTTCCTAACTATTGTTCATTTAGCTAGCAAGACATTATTTACTTTTTTAAATAATAAATTTATCACAAACATTCTTGTACATGGTGTAATACAAATAAATGATAAAATATAAAATAAAAAACAACTAACATCCAGTAAAATATACATACATATAGGCCATGTTTGTTTGGGTGGACATGAGCTTGGGATTGGACTAATAGTCCAATAAAATTATTAATCCGATGTTTGGTTAAACAATTGAAGTACGGACTAATTATTTTAAACTTGACTATTAGTTAAGATAGGATATATAATCCAACGGATTCGTAGTCCTAAAACTATTAGTCATGGGAATACTAATCCAGTCTGTCCAAACAAACATGGCCATATATCACTCTTTTTCTTTTGTTTTTTTCTTTTTTGTGCTGTAAAAATAGGGAGAAGATGTAGTAAAAGATGTACTTCGAGAAGGAGTATGAATTATTGACCAAAATAACCAATAATAATTATGGAAAGAAAAAGAATGAGAAATTGTCAAATTGATGGGCTTTGCTTTGTTGACTTTTTCGACCAACCAGCCTTGACTTTTTGAAGGAAAAAACTTTGGAGCTTGTATTCACGAATTTCATAGTAGGTAGGCCCGCATTGCTTGGTAATAAGGAATTATATGGAGCCCAGCCCCCGACTTTTTTCTTGCCTCTATCAATTTGGGAAATTATTGGGTGCTTCGTTGATCAAAAAATTGTTCAAGAAAAATGAGTGGACAAGATATTCAATGGTCATTATCACTGTGTAATACAGACAGTTATTTGATTGATTTTATATTTGTAAAATTATTGAATAATGAAAAATAGAATAATTTCATACAAACAATCCTATCATTTAACTCCACTAGATCTTTTTCCCTTGAATATGAAAATTTTATTTTATTTTTAATCAGCAAAAATCAAATATTAATTATTAAATTAACATTATGGGAATCTCTCCCTTACAAGTGTGCTGCCTTCTTACTATTAAAAATTTTTAAGTACACATGGCATCAATTTGTAAGTAAAATTAAATTTGTTTGTATAGTATTTCTTTGAACAAACTAATATCATCACTTATGAGATGTTTTTTAAAAAATGAGTATGTGAATATATTATAACTCAAGAAGTAGCTGTTGTTTGATTTGATCTACTACAACTGCTTTGGTCACAAGAAGGAAAAAAAAGTTTATGATAAAGACTCATGAATTGACCATTTCCAATTATTTATTCTCAAATATTTTCTTTTTCCTTGCATTTTGGATTTTCATTTTTTCTGTTAATTATGAAGAAAGTCTAACAACATAAATTCACAATCCTAATATCAACAATCACTATATCAATACAAGAAAGAGTCTCATAAAAAATCAAAATAAAAAATCCTTTAATATGAATAAAAATAATCAATCTATAAATTTTGACAAAAATTAATTTTCAATTAAAAATATAAAAGAATAAGCAATGAAATTAACCCTTTTAAATGGTCAAATTGACAAAGTTTTGTAATCTTCTATTTTGGTCTTTCTGTTTCACACTTTAATTATGTTTTCAGATTCAAATGTGCATGACTTTGAACATATATATATATATATATATATAACATAATATAATTCAAAGAAAATTTGGATTACGCTTGGTTCTAGATTGGCAAGAAATTAAGCTATGGACCAAGATCCTCTTAAAGATGACAACTGGATTTCATTTAATATTCATTTGACAAGTCTTTTTTGGTGAATACATTTGACAAGTCATTGAAAGATAAATGAACAAACTAAATTAAATTTCTAATGAGTATAAAAATTCAGAAATGTTAGTATGAATTAGGTTATTGGGTGAATTATATTTTTTACCTGTTTGATTTAAATTTTATGTTCAGCTTGTTAGAATGTTGTTCAAAACGATTTGTTAGCTAAACCAAATTAACTTAAATACATTTATGCGTGTTATTTGAAACAAAATGCAATGAACCATGAATAAATTATGTTGAAATTTATCTTGAAACGAGTTGTAGGATGTAGATTTAAAGTTGATAGGATGCGGGCTATACTTAGAAATATTATAATCCATATATTTTATGTTGAAATTTGAAACAACATTAACAAAAACATTTATGTCTTCCCTTTCATTTGATTCCATATATGTATCTCTCTGAACAGTGCTTTTGAAACACTTCTGCCCCAGGTCATCATTAACAGGCTAGTTCAGAGCATCTCTGTTTTCTCTATATTTATATATCGATAAAATGTATATGAAAAATGGTTGAATATTTTGTTTTCATGTCATATTTCGCATGCCCATCTACTGTTTGATAATTTGCTCAGACCAGCACTTTGTTTTCAATTGTTTATTTAAATGGTAGAATTGTTGTCCATACCCAATTTTTGATACTTTCCTTCATTTATGAAATTGTTTGTCCAAACCACTCTACTAGAAATGTATGCAAATTTGGATGTATAGCTCTTGTGTGGGTTTTTTATTTTTTAGTTTATTTTGATAATGAAATGAGTAATCCAGATATAGTTTATTATAATGTTCTCTTGATTTTGTTTCGTGAGAGGCGGTGAGACATGAGGGAGAAGTGATTCCGTGGCATGTGACTTGTGAGATGATTAAGAGAGGTGAGCTGGAGAGGTGGTTCAATCATTAGGCCACTTAGTTTGTCACTGAAACTCAATAAGAAAATCTCAAAAATTCTTGTTACCAAATATTCCAAATTTTCAATAGCCTAAGAAGATGAGGACTCATTTTAATGTTTACGCTGAGGTCTCAAAAATCTTGGGCTGATATCAGTGAGCCGTGGTTTTGCAGGTGGATGGGTTGGAGTTTTAACAGATCCAATCCGAATCCGATTCATTTACAGACCTAGTCTATACTGGTGGTGGTCATGGATGTAAGTGTATGACTAGGTATATGGGTGTGTTATTTTGCAGGAGATGATGTGCAACTAATGACAAGGAGGCAAATGCAGTAGTCTTTGTGGGTGTTTGGGAAGTTGTTATTTTAGTAAGTTTTTTTAGTTTTTGATTATTTTAGGATATTAAAATTTTTGTGTTTGGGAAATAATTAGGTTTTTTTGTAATTGGATGTGATGTTTGTAAGAGAAAAAATGAAATGATTATATTTGATATGACATTTTGGCTGGAATTGTTTTTTTTTTATTTTTTAACCAATTTTGTCTTTTAGTGTTTTTGTAGCAAAAAAAAAAAAAAAAAACCCCTTCCCAAATACCACATTTATAATATAAATTAGAGTGCTTTTGAACTGCAATATGGGTTGATTGGCAAACAATTACCAACTTCAATGAATATTTATGCAAATCATCATTAAAAGGGATTTTCTCTTCAGAATTAGATTAATGTTTATTAAATAAATTTATACCCATAAACATCTCAGGTTTTAAGAAACTGTGCATCTCTGCATTGTCCTCTGATAATTGAATGAACATGTTTATGAAAGTGTATAGGACCCTACAGATCTGCATTTCTTATTGATAGCTTTTTTGTGGTAAAAATTATAGTCTCTGTTTTGACCGTGAATTGAATGAACATGTTTATGTTGTTGGTCGATTCCAGTAACTCCACGAACAAGACCGGGCATGCAAGTCCAGTGAGCATCAGGTAGCGCAGCAGGTGACTGCTTGTGCGCATTCTACCACATTAACAGCACACCTACAATGGTGGATTGATACGTATACTGAAATTTTCAAGAACCCGCTGCCCTTATAGCAGTGTGAGTTCCAATGCTAACGCTTGTTAATTCTATACAGTGAGTTTAATTTTTTGACCATAGATTGTTATATTATAATTTGATTGGTATATGATTTGCCTATGGTTTGTGTTTATTGCTTTTCAGTTATCATCAGTTTGATCTTGTGATATTTAAGAAAGACGAAAGGGACTTGCAGAGGTGTAGTGTTCGGATATGGAGCTGAAACTTGAGGAGAATTGAGAGCTAGCACGTTCAAGGTTCGTTTGCTTTACTTTCTCTCTCTTTTTTAGCAGCAATTTGAACTGTGTTATGTATTTTGATTTCAAACCTTGCTGCAAGACAGTTGCCAGCAAGTAATCAAATGGTCAACTGATGCATTGTTCATCTGGGTGATCTCTTGGGGGCCCAAGCTCACAGTTGTGGCAATGGTTGCATCTCCCCCACCATGTGTCTCACAAATGGTTGCACACCACATATATAATACCGGTCACCTCATTGTCGGCAAATCCTCCTGGATGATCCTTCAATTGATAGAATTTTGGACCTAGATTCAAGCTACAGTTGAATTATCAAAGTCATAGAGTAGCACTGTATTTGATTGTGTTTCCGATTTTAACTTCTTCGAAGGACAACATTGATTTCCAGCTAAAGTCTCACATATTATAAGATGCGCCTCTTCTGGATACCTCAATGATGATTGTTATATTGCATTGACAAGGACCTTCCTCTTGTGTCTTCTTTTACCATTTATGAAGAGTGATAAAATTACTCATCTATTTAACAACTTGAGTTTTTTAACGGGTTAGTAGTCAATAATTTAACATGGTATCAAAACAAATAATAGATCTTGTGTTCAAATCTCACTACCTATCTAATAGTTAAAATACTTGCACGTGTTTGGCAATTTATAAAAAAAAAAATTAATCACACATGAGAAGACATATTAAGAATATAAATAATAAAGGTTCTCTCTCTCTCTAACAGCTAATCATTCAACGGAAACAACTGTTTTGATCTCAAACACATACATACATTATTATTTTAAAATGGTCCTCCAAATAACAGATGGAATTAGAAGAAGCAATGTTAAAGGGGACACCTTCATGGAAATGAGAGAGGGGATATGTTGCAGTCACTTCATTCATGTTAGTGCTTTCTTACGATTGAAAGAATGCTTGCTTGTGACATCCCATTAATTTGCTTCTCCATTATTTCCTTATCCCAACTCTTTTGAATTTGAAGAGCTAGCAAATGCCAAAGAAATTACAAAGGAAAATAATTTACAAGACTTCCTTTGTTGACTCTCTCAGCTCCTAAATGTAAAACCCCCAAAACCTTAACTATCTAATCAAATCAAATCAAACCAAAATAAATCTTATATCCCAATCAAGTGAAGTCAGTTATATGATTTTTATTTTATTTTTTTCATTCAACTCTATTAAGGTCTATATGTTACATTAAATTAAATAAATTTATATACTTTTTAAGGATTTCCATTACATTTCTAATAGTTATGAATTAAGAATGTAAATTTATAATTATTTTAAATTAAAAAATATTATTGTACTCGTTATTAGATAATATAACAGAACATTTCCATTACAAATACATAATAGAGAGGATCATAATCCCTTTTTCACTATCGCCTCCCATATTAACTGAAGTCTTTCCCTTCTCCAAATTCACTATTTGTGATGATCCTATCACTCCTTACCTCCACGTTTAATTTGTCATAAATTGAACTATATAAAGTCGAATCCCCTTTATCTGACTGACCCAGGTGTAGATGGTATAGGGCCGTGGGCCCCCTGCCTTGGCTCAATTGCTTTATGTATACTGTTACTCCTTTATATCCATTTCCATGTGTGTGCATTGGCCCCTAGTTGACAAATGTTCTATTTAATCTTCACCACCACTTTCTTATTTTTTTATTCTGTTTTTAACTCGGATAATTTCATGAGCACTCTACATGAAAAATAATTCATGTTATGTTTGATTAATAAATTTAAAAAGAAAAAATAAATAAATAAAATATAAACAAAATATATAATTATATTTTACACACATATTTTATTTCTTTTTTTAAATCCCAAACCCATGAATCAAACACAACCTTAATATTCACTTTTATGTTTCTAATTTCTCTTGTAATTTTCTCTTCTTTTTGTTTCCCTCTTCTTCTTGTGTTTTATTTTGTTTTATTTATTTATTTTTCTTCTTGTGTTTTATTCTCTTTTCTAACTCCATAACAGAACAATTATATTTTTATTATTATATTTCTATGCCTAATTCTTTTTATAATATTATATATTATTGCATTAGTATAATGAGTTCTATAATTCATATTTAATGCTAATGTAATAATATTATGTTATATGATAAATAAAATGTGATAAAATCTTATTCTTTTTTTAAAAAATTTTGTAATTTTTTATTTTATGTGTAGTGCTTACTGCATAAATGAGTGATTTTTTAAAATAAAAAATGCAATTTGGTCAGTAAAAAGAATCTTAACTTAAAAAATAAATAAATATACATTAAGTAAATATTTTTATTCTAAATTTTGGCCTCTAAAAGATAAAATCCTGATTCTATCATGTTTTATCATATCATTATAGTTGAATTTGATAATTTAAATGATGATTTTTTAGGCTCATTGTAAAATCTTAGAAGTGCCCAAAAGAAATGAGTCAAATCAACCATCACATAGCAACTGAAAGTTACCAATAATAATCAACCAACACATTATCATCTTCAAATCCAATATGATCTACAGTGTGTCGTTGCATCTGTGGATTTGACCTACAAGTAGCCGGCTAGGAATCTAAGAAAAAGTAAATTACACTTTTAACCTTGTAATTTTTATCGCTATTTTATTTTGATTTCTCATCTTCTCAGTGCAATAAATTAAGCCTGCCTACCTCAATTTATGTTTCAATATGATTTTCTCGTCATTTATAGTTAAAAATGTGGACGGGAAATGCTCATGGAAAGGTCACATGAGCACATTTTAAAATAGAGAAAAAAAATTATATTACATATTTCACCATTCGACTTACATTTAAATTTCACTTTGATCGTTAAGATATATATATATACATATATATATACTTGTACATAATTAATCTTTGAGTTAAGAATGGTTCGGTACATATATCACCCTGAAATATATGGTAAACACATGAGGCTCGCCATAGCCTCTTGAAACCAATCCTCCCCGTCATGTTTGATCTGCAAATTAAAATTACAATTTATAAAACATTAAAACAACACTCATATAACTAATAAGTGCACTTCATGCATGCATTTTATTATGTTTATTATTTATTTTTTTATTGGAATACAAGTAATATTTTATTACTGATAATAAAACATTACAAATTGAGAATCAACTTGAAACGACTAACGTTGTTGAGCACTGATAATTTATATATCATTTTTTATATGGTATTAAGACTGTTTGCTAAATGGCATTGAGAATTTTAGGCAGCATGATAATATCAGTATATGTATTTTGAGATTTTAAATTGTTGATATATAATTGTATTATTAATACAGTGATACCACCGATCTTGATACTGTTATTTAAAGCTACGATTGAGTGACATTATTGAAAATACCTTTACAGTGTCCTTGTCAAATTCTCTATCATGATTTTCCTGAGGATTATTATCGTTGTTCTTTCTTACTGCTGAGGCTTCTTCTTCAGATAATAGTTCATTGTTTCTGGCGAATCTTCCGCGAACTCGAACCCGCTTGTCAGCTAGGATCTTCCGACATGCATACTGCACATAGCCGAAACTGTTAGACTAATGTTTCTAAGACCCCGTTTAGTAATTTTTTTGACTTTTTAGTTAAAATATGAGGTAAAAAAAATAGTAGATTTAGAATGACTTTTTAGTATTTTACGAAAAGATGTGTAAAAAATAAAGAAAAAAAGAATCTTTAACTTTTTGATATACGATATAGGCTTTTTAATTTTTTTAATAATTTTTAAATTTTTAAACTAAAAATGTTACATGTCAAACGAGGCCAAAGGAATCTGAAACGCAGCAGGAGTGCTGAGACATGAAATGAAACAAATATATAAGGATTGTAAGTCACAAGCACACAAGCCAAACTGTTGGATTAATATGTGTGTGTGTGTGCGCGCGTGTTAGAGAGAGAGAGACCTTGATAGTTTTGTTGAAGTTCCTTTGATTTCTCTTCTTGACATATCGGAGAATTCTGTTCTTTCTTTCTTCGACTGAATACCTTCCAACTTTCATAGTGGGTTCTTCTTGTTCTTCAATTAATGCTGGCACTAGAGGAACTTGAAAATCACCCTATAATTGAAACTTATAAAGGTAAGAAAACAATATTTTTTGACCAAATTTTCTTAATTACCAACAGATACAAAAAGCATAGTTTTCACAAATGGAGATGGAAAATCTAGAGAGGATGAGTACCCGATTATTATCACCATAAACTGGCACAAACCCATTATTATTGCAGCATTCCTCCATCTGGAATTGAAAGCTGAGAGTTCCGGTGGCATTGGCAATGTCACGCAAGTGTAAACCCGTATTAAACTCCGGAGGAGGAGGAGGCAACACAGGTACTACAACCATGTCTGAGAAGTTGGATTCCGGTGGAACCATATCCATATCAAACAAGGGTAAGGCATCATTGTTGTCGTCGGCCCACAGTGCAGTGGCGGCGCAACCATTAATGTTGTTGTTTTTGGCTGCTGCGAAAGGAGGTGGAAACTCCTCACAGAATTGGTTGCGGAAGATGTAGTCTGAGTCTAATGAGACAGAAGAGTGGTATTGACAGTTAGGAAGAATGGAAGCCATTGAAGGCAAGGCTAGTGATATGCAAAAGCTCTCTTCTACTGCTTATTATCTATGCCCCTCTCTGTCACTCTATGCCGTTTGCTTTTTAACGCCTTGAATTTATAGCATATGTAAATGTAGGAGTACTAATCCACTCCACTCCACTCCACGAGCTTCTGTTCTATTCCTCAGTCATTTTCTTGTTTCACTTCACACCATTTTATTCCTTTGGATATTAATTAATCAACCATCAAACTGACTTTTTATTCAAATAATTAATTTTTATTGGACAAATATCGTGTCAACAATTTGCAAATAAGTAAGATTTTTTTTTGTGTGCAAGTCTGTGTGGTAAGTGCAAGTCCAAGAGACAACTCATGACTTGCACTCAAAAAAATTCCCACTAATTTGTAATTTTGTGTCTTAAATTCCAGTTATATATTATTCTTATACCATAAAAGATTCCACTGATTTGTAATTTTGTGCCTAAGTTTCACTGATACATTATTATTTTCATTTTTATTTAGTAAAATCAATCAAATGGTTTGAACTAAAAATTTGTATGGTGGTAGCTTGGGGGCAAGTTGTTTAATCGACAGGATGGGCCCACCAAAACTTGGGCTTTATCCCTCTCCTTAATTCTATGATTTTTTTTTGGGGGGGGGGGGGGGCAATTGTTCGCGAGCTTACATCCCCTTCTTATTTTGTTGTTCACATAGTGATTTTAATTAATAACGTATTGAAAATAAAATAAAATAAAATTTATGAATGAGATAATATTTACTTATCTAGTTGAGATATAATACATAACTTAGCCCTCGTTTGGCATAAGTTAAACGGAGGCTTTTTGGCTAAAATAGTCCTAAAAAAATAAAATAGGTTTTTTCGTTTAATAAGACAAAATGTCTCATTCAAATCATAATTATTTTATTTTTTCTCTTACAAAATTTAAAAAAATCAAAAAGTCTATCCCAAACGAGTCTTTTTAGCCACAGGCTAAAATAGTCAAAAAATTAAAAAACCAACCCACATCCCAAACCAACCTTTAATGTGTTTTGTAAATTCTTATTTTACTAAGAACACCATGTAAAAAGTTCATATATTTTCATCTCTCTCTATACATTTTAACTTTTTTATTGGAAAATTAAAATTTAAAAAGAATAATTCTTGTAAATGACTGATTAAAACAGTATAGCTAGCTAAAAGTTAACTTTTAACTTTTAACCTATTTTGAGTCACATCATTTCTCACATTTTTTACACACAAACGGATAAAAAAGTCAAAAAATTAATTTTTAACTAACTTCCCAAATTAATATGTACAAACTAAAGTGATTAATATGTGCTTTTATTAGACAAAATCTCTAGTGTTACTACAATCACTTGTTATTAGATGGATACATGATTACATTAGAATTATTAACCTACTTCATAATTTCACTAGAGTTCTTATCTTTTAACCTCCTCCTAACTTGAAAAAAAAAAAAAAAAAAAAAAAAACAACTTCAAACTTTGATAATAGTGTGTAAGCTTATGGAGTGTCTTCTTTAAGAAGCGGAGGACCAATAGCCCCGTTTGGTAGAGCTGTGGAAAAGTGATTATCGCTTATACTTTAATAACTTATAGCTTATAACAATGAATATAAGCTGATTTTTGACTTATACATTAAGTTTCTCCTTCCCTACTTAAAGAATAAGTTAATTTTTGACTTACAAAAAGCTATAAGCTATATTGTTAAACTGAACCAAGCACATCAAAATAACTTATATTAAACTAAAAACTGAAATAAGTTAAAAATAAACCCTACCAAATACGGTCAATATATAGCCCAGAATTTTAAAAACCTGATAAGGTTGAGTAGAGGCCCTCATGTGATCACTATGCTTACATAGGCTTGGTTTGGGAAGTAGGTTGGCTTTTTGGCTTTTTGGCTTTTTTGGCTATTTTAGCCTGGGCTAAAAAGCTTGGTTTGGGAAGGGCTTTTTGGCTTTTTTGACTTTTTTTGTGAGAGAAGAATGTAATGATTATAGGTTGGATGTGATGTTTTGTTAATTGTTGACTTTTGGTGAATAGTGTTAACTTTTTAGCTTTTTGAGTAACTTTTTGACTTTTTGACTTTTTTGGATCTTCCCAAACTTGACCATACTGTTTATTTAAGGCTGCACACCAAAGTAAGTACACCACTAAAGATAAGAGACCCAAAGAATCTAACACATGGGGACGTAATTCCTTTTCATCTCTTCTCTCTTTACAGCTTGCTCTATCTCTACCATATTCTTTCAAAAATTATTGGGTGCATGTAGAGCCAATATATACATATACTAATTTAAAAAGGCACCTGTAAGGCACGTGTTATTATTAAAGTGTATATAAGTTTTATATTTTGATAATTTTTTAAATATTAAAATATTATTTTATAAAATTAAATAGAATAAATTATTATTGATAATTTTTTAAATATTAGAATATTATTTTATAAAATTGAATATAATAAATTATTAGATACATAATAGAATTATATGGTATGATAGGTATCATTTTTTAATTTGTTATACATCCAATGATGTAACCTCTAATTCTATTACCATATAATTTTCGTGAATTTATGAGTCTTTAACATTTTTTTTGAATTTATAAAAAAAAAAATTAGGGTGTAGCTTTTCTCAACAGATAATTATAAAACAAATACTAAGATAATTCTCTTATCTAAAAAAAACTATTAAGATAATTCACCAAACTAATAAAGAAACCAAAGAAAATACATATATATATACAAATAACTATTTTTATTAATACATAAATAATACTCACATAGCAAATGGCCAATTTTTTTAATAAGTAAATTAACAAATTTTAATAATATAAAAAATATTTTTCAATTAACCATTTTATTAATAAATAAATTATTAAGTCAATTAACAGTTTTTAATGATATGAGAAATATTTTTCAATAAACAATTTTGATAATTTATTATTGCATAGGAGATTTTTTTTTTTTCTCTCTAAGTATTGTGTTAAATGAAAATTTATAACAAACGGTAGTTGTAGTTTTTAATATTCTAGGACTGATCATATTTTAAACAAACTTTATGGATGTATTTGTAATTTGTTAAAAAATAAAAAATTATGTTTCATAATTGACTAAAAATATTTGGGTAATTACAAAAAAATCTATTTCATGATTGACCAAGAATGTTTGCATAATTACAAAAAAAACTATTGTATAATTGACCAAAAATGTTTACGCAATTACAAAAAAAATCCTCCCTCAATGTATAGGTCACCATTAATAAATTATTCAAAATGAAATAACAAAATCGAAAAGAAAAAACGAATCGTAAACAGTTAAGCGGATCTTATATATATATATATATATAGATAGATATATGTCATGTTTGTTTACCAATTTGGAAAGGGAGAATTGAATTGCTAATTCGTGAGTTCCGCACAAATCATATCTGATTGAGAAAATTTTTATAAACTCTCATACGTACAAACTAAAGTGATTAGTATGTGCTTTTATTAGACAAGATCTCTAGTGTTACTATAACCACGTATTATTAGATGGATACATGATTACATTAGAATTATTAACCTACTTCATAATTTCACTAAAGTTCTTATCTTTTAACCTCCTAACTTGATTAAAAATATAATAAAAAATAAAAAAATAAAAAATAAATAAGAGAGGAGATAACAAAAGCTTCTAACTTTGATAATAGTGTGTAAGCTTATGGCGCGTCTTCTTTAAGAAGCAGACGACTAATATATAGCCCAGAATTTTAAAAACCTGATAAGGTTGAGTAGAGGCCCTCATGTGATCACTATGCTTACATATACTGTTTATTTAAAGCTGTACACTAAAGTAAATACACTAAAGATAAGAGACCCAAAGAATCCCACACATGGGGACGTAAGATTTGCTTCAACAAAACAAGTACATATATCCCTCAAATTTAATTCCTTTTCATCTCTTCTCTCTTTATTGGGTGCATGTAGAGCCAATATATATACCTGTACTAATTTAAGAAGTCCCGTGCAAGGCACGTTTTATTATTGAAGTATATATAAATTTTGTATTTTGATAATTTTTTAGACATTAAAATATTATTTTATGAAATTGAATAGAATAAATTATTAGATATCTAATAGAATTATGTGGTATAATATGTATCATTTTTTAATTTGTTATACACCCAATGATGTAATCTCCAATTCTGTTATCATATCATTTTCAGTGAATTTATGAGTCTTCAACATTTCTTTCGAATTTATATAAAAAAAGAATTATGGTGTGTAGCTTTTCTTAACAGATAAATATAAAACAAATACCAAGATAATTCTCCCATCTAAAAAAACTACTAAGATAATTTACCGAATTAATAAAGAAGTAAAATAAAATACATATATATACAAATAACTAATTTTATTAATACACAAATCATACTCACATAGCAAATGACCAATTTTTTTAATAAGTAAATTAAAAAATTTTAATATTATAAGGAATATTTTTCAATTAACCATTTTTTTAATAAATAAATTATTATTATTGCATAGGAGATTTCTTTTTTTCCCCCTAAGTATTATGTTAAATGAAAATTTATAACAAACAGTAATTGTAATTTCTAATATTATAGGATTGATTCATATTTTAAACAAACTCTATGGATGTATTTGTAATTTGTTAAAAAATAAAAAATTATGTTTCATAATTGACTAAAAATATTTGCATAATTACAAAAAAATCTATTTTATGATTAACCAAGAAAGTTTGCGTAATTACAAAAAAAACCTATTGCATAATTGACCAAGAATGTTTACGTAATTACAAAAAAAACCTTCTCTTAATATATAGGTTACCATTAATAAATTATTCAAAATGAAATAACAAAATCGAAAAGAAAAAACTTATCGTAAACGGTTAAGCGAATCTTATATATATAGATACATAGATATATGTCATGTTTGTTTACCAATTTGGAAAGGGAGAATCGAATTGCTAATACATGAGTTCCACACAAATCATATTTGATTGAGAAAAATTTTATAAACTCTCATGACATTATGAGTCCCGTAAATGAGTGGGATTAGCATCCCCATGGAGGGTGGGATTGCTATACTATCCCATGAGATTAGATCTGCTTTACAAAAATAATAACACCACCTGTTATATAATGAGAATGTTTGCATTATTTCATAAATTAAATCCTAATTAAGTAACTAATGTCACTAAACTCAAGCACAAACAAACACAACCTATTTTATATATCCAATCTAACACTATCACACTAATTATCTCAATCACACAATTTCACCATACTAATAATCTCAGTCAATCTAATGCGGCAATTGAACATGACATAAAGACACTTCTTGTATGTTTGTAAAACATTAACACAAAAATGATGATTCCAACTACATAAATTAAACCAATCATTATTAAGTTGGGCACCATCTCGACTCACTCCAACAACTTCTCCATATTCCCTGAAACTGAAACATTACATGCTTCTTGATTCATTGCATGCTGTAACTAGGATTGAAACCTGTTTTGCATGAATTGTTGTATTGCACAATTTCTGATAATCATAGGATAGCCCTACACATATATAATCATGGACAGTCCCTGTTATCTCTCAAGTGAATGCTTAGAATCAAGTTTTTGAAGGAATACTCTGCAAATGCTATACTTTTGAACGTTGTAAATCCACTACAACAAAAAGCACTTTTGGCGACTAAATTGCATTTTTCGTTGCTGAAAGTAGTAGAATTGGCGACTAAAATGGAATTAGTCGCCAAAATTGATCACTTCTGCCGACTAAAAGAGTTTAGTCGCCAAATATAAGGGTTTTAGCGACTAAAAGGCAGTTTAGTAGCGGAATGTAGGGGTTTTAGCGACTAAAATGATTTAGTAGCCAAAAGTGATGGTTTTGGCGACTAAAAAACAGTTTCGTCACCGATTATAGGTGTTTTGCCGACCAAAAACTGTTTGGTCGCTGAAAGGGAAGCTTTTTGGCTACAAAAAAAAATTAGTAGCTAAAAACAGTCAATTGTCGACTAAAATTCAGTTTAGTAGCCAAAAGGGGACGTCTTTGGCAACTAAAAACAGGTTTAGTCGCCAAAACTGCTTATTTTTAGGCAGAACTTAATTTTTTAGCGACTAAATAATAGTTAGTAGCCGAAAATGATAGAATTGGCGACTAAAAATTTAATTTAGTAGCCAAAAGTGGCCTAAATTTTTTTTTAGTAAATAATTTATTTTTTACATAAATATGTTATAAATTCAAAATAAACGAGTATGTCAACACAAAATTAACTTTTTACTTGCATAGATACATATCATTATATCCTTGAGGTATTTGTATCCTACTTTATTTTTTAATTTGTCATACTAGTATCCTGTTTCTATATCCATGTTACTTCTCCTTTATGCACTTTTAAACACACCATAAATTCCTTTAGAAGAAGAAGAGAAAGAAAGAAAAAAAAAAAAACCACCAATCAGTACAACAACTACAATGTTGCAAGGTTTTAGATTTTTAGTCATTCGAAATTACTAAATGCTACTCTGATCAACTACCTACCCAAATGAATTGTTAATTAAATTGGTTAAAATCATGAACATCCTCAATTGCAATATAAGCAAAGTATCATCAACTAAAATTTTCCCATTCCAATCAAAACAAAACCTTCACCTTTGGCCGGAATGTAAACCAGACCACTCCCCGCACTAAAATTCGCATCCGGGTTGTAACTTTTCAACACAGCTGTAGTCAAATTCGTCTCAGTAGCAATAGAATCCAAACTATCCTCCGGCCGAAGAGGGTACGTCATGAACAACCCGTAAACCTTCGAAACCGAACTGTCGCCGCATGAACAATTCACAGTGACATTGATCTGCGCACCGTCGGGAATCCGATTCGGATCATAGCTATTGAATTTCTGAACCCACTCCGTCGTGGTCAGGTTGGCATAGTACTTGCCAGCGACCTTCTCGTATATATCATCAACCCTAAACGTGTACTTGAACACGTGAGCGAAGAAATCGCCGTTGATGCAATCGCAGGGAAAGGGAATGTTGATTCGTATATCGGATTGAACACTGTCTTGGTTTGGAATTTGAGGATTGTAGCTGAGAATATCACTGATTTGAACGCTCATCACTTTGGAGATGAAGGTGAGGTTCGATTCGGGCCATACGTAGTACGAAGCTAGGGCTAAGTCACAGCCTTTGGAACACTTGGATTCGACTGGGACACGGAAGAAGATGGAGATGATGACCGCGAAAAGCCCTAATTTGAATGGAAACATGGTGGCATGAATGAAAGCTTAGACACCATCTGAATGGGGGTTGGCTGATGATGAAGAGAAGAGAAGAGAAGCATATACGATGAAGACTAGGTTGAGTTTTGGAATGTTGACTGATGGAGGAGGAGTCGGAGGACGAATTGTTTTGTCGGGTCAGCGGAGTGAAAGACGAGCCAAATGAAAATTGCCGCCACGGCGGAAATGGTTATTAGGTTCGTCTGGGGTACGACCACATTAATGGCGGAAATGGTTATTAGGTGCCGCTGGGGTACGGCCACATTATGTTTTTAAGCGTGGTAATTGGTGAAAAAAATAGTAATTAAGCTTGCAAATAAATTGGATTTTGATTGGATTTGTCAAAATTTGAATCTGATTAAAATAAGTCTCCATCCGTTTATTTCATATTTGATTATAGATCACTCAGATTCAAATTAGATCATTTCATATATTCGATTTGATTCCATCTATTTATTTATTTATTGAGCTACAATTTTGAATTTTTTTTTTTATTTTGTGTTTTCTTTATTTAAATTGAAAGTAAGATCGGATTATTAGATTATTGGATCATGTCGGATTTTTATATATTCGATTTGTTTACTAAAGAGATTAAGGCCAAGTTTGGCATGACCTAAATAATACAAAAAGTCAAAAAGTCACTATCCTATTTAAGTCACATCATCTTATTTAAATCACATCACCTCTCTAACACATCACATCAAACCCAACCCAAACCCAACTCATATAAGCTAATAAGTCAAAAAGTGCACTTTTTTAGAACATCTCAAACCAACCCTAAGTTAAAATTTATATATATAAGAAGATGATTGGATTTTTTGTAGTTGAATATGATGTTTGTGAGAGAAAAAGTAAAATGATTATGAATTAATGTGATACTTTGTCTTATTGGTTATTTTAGCCAAAAAAAAGCTAAAAAAATTTCTTCCCAAACACTCCAAATATGTTGTGAGTAGGTGCCACATGTAGTTATTAAGGTGAACTTTACTAATTTTATATCTGCTGTAAAGTTTTGAAAACTAATTGCAGTCGCCGTAACGGTTATGGTGGTGCAATTACCCGTAATAAAAGTCGTAACGTAACGGTTGTGGTAATCGGAACCGTGATTTTTTTTAATTTTTCATACAATTTGAAGAAAACTTACCGATACGCATTTTTTTTTCTTCCTAGAATCACATTTATTAGGGTTTAAAATAAATTTTGATCAATTTTTATTAATTTTTAAGTATGATCAAATATATTTCATATTTTCAAATCACTATAAAAAGAATTTTTTACATTTTATTTCAATAGTTAATGACTTTAAGAATAATTGATTTTAAATACCTACAAATTATTTTTGACCAATACATAAACTAATTGAATAAAAAATATTCACAATTATTAAATGAAATGATTATAAAAATAAAAATTATGTCATAAACAAATAAAAAAATTGAGTTTTTTAAAGACATTTTTTAGACAACACAATACAGTAACAAAATAAAAAATATTTATAATTAAATATTAAATAAGATGATTATAAAAATAAATACAATCACTGTTTATATATTTTTTTATTTTGCATGCTAATGTAATGAAAAAAAAATTATAAAGAAAATAAATTTATATAAGACTTTTTCTTTAGGCTTAGATCATTTGAGTATTTGTTCTTTTTTTTTTATAAGCTTTTATTTTTTAATTTTTTTATTGAGAAAGAAAGTTTTTCAAAATATTATAAAAGAGTGTAACAGATCGTTACGGTACCGCTACGGTCGGTACATAACATTGAAACGACTGTTACAAATGTGAATTTTCGTCACATTGCTATAGCAGTCGTAACAGATGGAGGTAACCACTACAATCGTTACATAACAGCGGTAACCACCACAACCAGAAGAAAATTGATAATAATCTGATAATGTATAACTAGCACTATTTTTTTATAGAAGAGAATATTTCAGGTGATGTATCTCCCACTCTTGAATGATGTTACATATTCCTAATTTCCTATGCAAATCTATTAATTACTTTTGTGCCTATTCTTACGAGATGTATATATCTCCTAACTTAATCAAACGAATAATCCATGTGCAATTATCATGACAACCACTTATTTGTATTTTGTTAGGCAACAAATAACTAGGACAAAAAATTTCAAAAACATGAAATATATGAATCAAAATCATTATTGGTGTGACACGCATCATACTAAATTTGAATTTACGCCATCCTTAATTTTTTAACAACTTTTCATATTAGCTTTTTGAACTACCAAACTTATTATTACAAGTAAACATGTTTCAATTCCAGTTTTTGTAGCATCTTGTTTAACTTCTCATCAATGCACTTTTTATTTTTCTCTCTCATCAAAGTATCGTAATCGCGTACCAAAGAAAATAAAGTATTAGTAACCATATCCTGACATCTCTGTTTTAGATATGGAGGTACTCTCTCAACTTGCCCATATCTTATCCTTCGCATTAAATTCAATCGGACTAAACTATTCCTTCCAATAAAGCATCTTTTGAATAGCTGACATTTTGAACAAAGTAACAATTTGATTTCCCTACTAAAATCTCACATTTCTGAATAAACATTAACCATTTAGAAAAGCAACTGTGTATGATACTCAAAATTTTATCATTTTCCCATAACAAGTTCTTAGCAAAACCTAACATTTGAATAACATTGACACATTAATTTTATTACTAATAATAGTCTCAACTCTTAGAAATAAGATTCTCATTTTTTTTCAAAATTTTTGTCGTCCAAACATAATTCAATAGTAATTTGTTGCCATCCAACCAATTACAAAGAATTAAATCTAAATATTCTAAAATTGATTAAGAAGTTAATTGTATAATACATTTCATTTGGTCATGCCTACATTCTAGTTTTATTGAAAGATGATTGAGATAATACTTCTCACACAATAAAAATTTTTGAACTTTCTAACAAGGTTATAAAATTTGATTGTTAATCTTATTTACAGTAAGCGCAGTAAACAATAATGTTTTCTCTATATTTCTACTAATCATTCTCTGCTGCCTTTTTTTTTTTTTTGGTCGTGATTAAAATTCTATTCCAAATCTACCTTTCAATAAGCATTTTTGAAATCTGCTGCCAAATAAGACTAAACCCTTGCAATGCTACCTGAGTTTCACTTTTGGGTTCGTTATTTGGATCAAGCATGAAATAGCCCCCACATAAAGGGGGGGAAAAAAAGATACACAAATATACAAAATACTACTATTCTTATTCGCAAATGTGATATTCAGTAATGAAGTCTTAGTATTTTAAATGAAATCAACTAAAATAACATCATAGAAACAATTCAACATCCACATCAATTAGCAGAGCAAAAATAGTTTGTTTGTCTGTCTTCCATTAGTCCCACATAAACTTTGTTCAAACTGAATTTTTTTTAAACATTCACCACTAGCCAAACCAAGTCCTCACCCAAAAAGACTCAATTTTATTATCTGATTTTGAGTTCAATTGACATTATCTTGCAAATCTTACACTATCAAGGAAATTTGTGAGACACAAAACCCACATTGAAAATGTAAGGGATTGATTTAAGCTGTAAAAGAACATCATGCAATACATCTATGGAAAAAATTTACTGAATTTTTCAATCAATAGGCAATATGAATGGTAAAGCTGGGTCCAGATATGGCATGTTGGCATTCAAGGTTGATGAATGGACACAATGAAGCCTGATGCAACTAAAGGTGCTACCAGATCAGTCACACACAATGCACACACACACACACACACAGAGAGAGAGAGAGAGAGAGAGAGATTGTTATCAGATTAATTGAACAAAATTTTTTCACTCAATGACATGAATATCTTGCAAGCATTAATTGTTACATTTTAATAGAACACAGCAGGTAATGCCCAAAAAAACAAACAAGAAGCAGTTAGGTACCGGGCATGCATGCAAGGAATGGGGAGAATCAAGCCTGCAAATACCATGCTCTAGTCCCTGAAGGATAATCAGCTCATATGTATGTTGATTCCACTTGGTCCACACAAAACAACTGGATATGAGGTTGACCTCAAATCAGCTCCAGTGTCCCTTGCCAATCAAACCAATTGTCAGCATTGTCTTCAGAAGCCTACAAGTGACACTATATACGTCTTAAAAACAAATATTAAATATAATGGAAAAACAGTGGGAAAGAAGAAGAAGAAGAAGAAGAAGAAGAAAGGGTGGGAAAAATACATGAATGAAAGCGTGGTGACTGTGAATAAACATGCCTACAATCACATACCATTTCACCAAAACATTTAGTGTATGTTGCGGTTAAGCAATCCTTGAAATAATAAGTAAAGATCTTTGTTATCCGTCCCAAATATCTCTTCAGCTTTCCTCAAAGTTTCCTGAAGAGAAAAACAAAAATCATGTGTCCAATTAGCAAACAACAAAAGCAAGAGAGATCTGAACTGAATCAATCTAAAACATGCAACTAATTACCTCTCTGGATTGCTTTTGAGCATTTAATTCCTTTATATTTGCCAAAAACGCGCTAAATTGTTCGTATGATAGACGACTCCTAAATTACAAACAAATCCAAAAAGTCTGTAAAGGGCCCAACTAACTGATAAAAATCAATTGCTGCACAAAAAAAGAATCAAAATAAGAACTCACCTAGCTTGACGGAAGAACTCCTTTCCATCAATTCGTGGAGTGCGTGCTTAAATTTTTTTTATGAACAGTAGAGGAAAGGTCGATCAGAAGGGGAAAGGAAATAATCTAACATAAATTGTTAAAGAAGAATGTGCAATTAAATAGAGTGGAATCAAATATACGTAACCATTTTATTGATATGAAATTTTTTTAAAAATAAATGGTAGCTGCAATGGAGTTGGTGCTAACAGCTGTTGACAGTTAAAATCAAAGTACTGCCAAAGGACCACCAATACAGTTTAACGTGCACAAAGCTCTCGAAAATATAACTGAATTTGAAATAACTTTTTCTAACCTGGCCCTGAGCGTCCACGAGGAGGGGAGTTTGCAGCTGATGACTGCTGGCTTGATGGGTACCATGAAGACAGTGAACCTCGTCCCTCATATTGGCTTTTCGTGGGAGATGTAGCACCAGAAGTTTTCTGAGGAGATCCAGCAGCAGAATATCTTGTTGGGGATCCAGTCGTGGAAATGATTTTCGGAGTTCCAGTAGGAGTAAGGCGTGGTGTAATATACGGCGTCATAGAAAATCTTTGCCCAGCTTGCTGTGAGGCTGTGGGCCAAACAAGCAGCATAGATCATGGCATGAATAAAAAATATGCAAGCAAAAGCAATGCCAAACAAAGCCCTAGAATTTAGTTCAAATACCATCATAAGTTGTATATCCACTTTCTATAGAGCTGCTTCGCGAATGGTGAGCCATGTGGCCATTTAATTCCTCATCTACAAGTGGCAAGAGCCAAGAAAATTTTGTAGAATAAGGAAAAGAGTTAACAGTTTACTTGAAATAACATAAAATGAAAATCTTAACCGAACCAGGTTGTAAGTACCTTTCACAGAATAGGATTTGGGAACTAATTGGTCACATGTCACAATATCAACAGTTTCAGCTTGCTGTTGAAACGAGAACACTACAAATTAGTTTCTCAGGAAAAAATATATCTATATATATATTTTTTGCAAACAATTGTTTAAGGAGGAAAACAGCAACAAAGTCAACATAAAGGTTATGAACAACTATATTCAGTACTGAAATCTTACTGATAAATTATCATCATTTAGTGACTGCATCAATTGTCTCTTGAACGTCTCCAACTGTCAAAACAACTAGGGTTAAGTTGTGCAACCAATAGATATTACAGAAACTAGAAATATATGGTTCTGACACCAGCACCAAAGGAAATTTGACAGAACCATGCACCCTGACTCAACTCCCTTGGCTAGAAAATGTGAATGTATCTTTAGTTAACTCTATGGCTTAGACATGGCCTTGTTACATATTCTTGCTAACGGCAGAAGGCAGAATATTTAAAATACATGGATGTTTCAAAACATGAACTACAGACACCATCACTAAACTGAAGAGAAGTGGGTCAGCTTCTCCTTTGGGTTTCACTTGGTAATGAGTTATTATTATTTCCGAAAGCACAAAATCATAAGCATTTCCCTCTTAATCAGTATCACATTATATTTAGTAATTATCTACCTATAGAGTATGAGACAATAAATATGCGTTTTAAGCTTCAACTTCTCACAATATGTATGGTATATTATACTAGCCCAAAACAAAAGTATATGCATGAGTTAAAAGTAAACTTAGATCTCAAATTTACACAACAAATCCTGCACTTCAGCATGCAGAGATAGTTTTAACCTTAACTTGTAGATTTTAGATTTTGATCATGTTTGTACTGAGACCCAGAGACATGAATGCAACAAAATCTTAACCCTCAAATGAACCCAAATCAAACCATTGGTAAAAATCTTGAAAGCTGACCAAAAACAATAAGGATATAATATTCAAGCTTGTTATGTTTCTATCCATTTCAAACATATTTTCTGACACTGAACATGCATGCAAAGAACAAGAAGAAAACACAAAATGCCTGATGAGAAAACATAGATAATACATCGATTTCATAGGTGGCAACTAAGAGCCCATAGAATGGAACCAAAATGTTACTAAATCCTAAATTAACATGCATTCTGATCAGAATTTCCATCATTGTTCTGATGAGAAAGAACCTTACATAAGTTATACATAAAGGCCGCTTCAAAAAATCTTATTTTAGAAGAGGTGAGCCAAGGTTCCATTAATAGGTTTCACCCTGTCCACAGGACTCTCTTAATTATGAAACGTAGTAGCAGCAAATTGATTACACAATGAAGGAATTGTTTTCTATTCTCCAAATGGACCATCTCAGAATAATTGACAAACAAGTAGATAAAAACCCAAATTAAAGGCAAGAAAAACACCCAACATGAATCTCACCTTCGCCAAATCACGCCCTAGTTTCTTCGTTGTCATGGCCAATGAATCTCTCTCCTTGGAAAGCTTCATCTTTAATTTAGAATTAAGAAAACACAAATTCATTCAAAAATAATCAACCATCAATACAATTAGAAAGGGGAAAGAAAGAGTAGATACATTATCATCACGAGCGATCTTCAACCGCATATCTACTTCATGAAAGGCCTGTTCGAGGTGCGAGCCCTTCTCTTCGAGCTCCAATATCAATTGATCCTTCTCATAAAGCTTCTGCCTTAACCTCCCAACCTCCGATTCAAGCTTCGACACGCGAGATGCGATTGCCATCGAAGTGATCTTCCTGGCGAGATCAAGCTGATCGTAGGGATCAATGGGAATCACCGACAATAACTCATCGGGTAGATGAAAGTCCGGTCCGGTTCCGCTGCTCTGGGTGCTGCTGCTCTGCGACATCACCAATTTCAAACCCTAATTCTCTGTTTCTCTCTTTATATATACACAATAAGAGAATTAAGCTTGAAGCTGAAGAGTTTGAAAACAAATTGATTGAAATTTCAATTAACAAACAAATAGATGTACAATGTACAGACACTCTCTCTCTCTCTCTCTCTCTCTCTCTCTCTCTGTGAAACCCTAAATATTGATTCAATGCAAGCGAATGAGAAGGAAAGAGAGGGAAGTTGCAGAATCGCAAATGGAGAAGACACATCACATCGATCGATGTGTGTTGTGTGTGACGTATAAATACAAATATGATTTATTATTTAATAAAAAAATTTATCGCTTTCCCTTGCATGTATGTGTTTGTTGTCTTCATTAATATAAGTGTTTTTGACTTTTGTGGGTTTGGTTGGTGGCTGAATTTTTGAAATTTTTTTGAGTTTCCCTCCAATTGTAGGTACATCATATGTATCTTTGGGAAAAGTTCTATGATTAATGTGTCAAATTATTTGGTCATTTACTTAAAACTAATAATATAATAAATAATAATTGATTTTTTACGATAATTATTAAAAAATTATAAATATTTTAAAATAAAAATATTTAAAAAATAATAATTTCAACTACATATACAATCAAAAGTAATTTTAAACACTAATTGAATATTTATTTTGAAAAAAAAAAATATTGTAATATTTTCAATCAAATAAATTTAAAAAATGCTATAAATCCCAAATAAATTACTAAATTTTAGACAAATTACAAATAAAATCCCAAGGTTTAGCGTGTTTTGCAAATTAAACCCCAAGTTTTTAATTTTGACAATTAGAACCCTGTAATTCATTCTGTGTCACAATATAAGTTTCCCGTCCATCTTCGTTTCATGAAATAACAGAGAAAGTCATTTTTGACGCCTAAACCAACCCAAAACGATGTCATTCATTATTAGACCCATATAAAAACCCCCAAATCCGAAATTTCACCAATTATGGCTACAATTTGCCACAATTTCTTCGATTTAGAGCAATACGAATGACAAATCCACTATTGAACGAAGCTCCATTTCAACCATTACGAAATATGAGTGAAGGAAACAGTTGGAGTGGAAACAATTGGGGTGAATCGACTTGTTGCAGTTGTAGAATGAGAGCAAGAATCCAAACTTCATGGACCCATGCGAACCCAGCTAGAAGGTTTCTTGGTTGTCCAAATTATAGAGTAAGTTTTCCAGTCCCGTGAATAATATGAAATTTGTGTATATTGTTGTTTCTTAAAACCTGACTTTGATTAGTATTTTGTAATTTATTTACTTTATTTATTTAATTTATTATTTTTTTTCTTTTCTAGAAAAACTGGGCTTGTGGTTTGTTACGCCCTCACTTTAAGACATAAATCATTAATTTTCAAGTTTCATGAACATAAAGAAAATAATACATTTTCATTCATCAAAGTCTTCTTTACAAAAATATTACATGTTATCAACAAAGTAAATGTCCTACGAGCTTACAGCTTTCCAAGTTATCACTTGGTTACAACAAAAGAAGGGTTCTAACTCTATACATGAAAAGCCTTCGACTTGGATTTACATTTAACACAAAATATAAATAGCAAAATGGAGCCTTTAACTCCTAAACCTCCCATGCTAAGACCTTGAAGGCGGCATATCACCTGTACCTGAAAAATGGTGTCCCAAGTAGGGTGAGCCAATGCCCAGTAGAGATATGCTAAACAACATATGAGAATTAACTAAAACATTAACATTTGATAAATGTTTAACACTTATGAACTATCTTAAGCTTTTTCCGTAGTCAATCAACATTATTTGGATTCACTTCCGGTTATTACCCAAGTTAATTCATTGACATAATTCATTATAATATAAACAATTCAAAATGAGACTGCAACTCATTCATCAGCACTTCAATCATAAACATTTTTCATACACTTCCATAACTTGCTATTTTACGGAATTACGTCCAAGGGAACCGGCACCCAAATATAAATAAGATTTCGGGACTTTTACCCTGAACACTCTGGCCAACTTAATTATCCATGAAGTCTATCCCCTATCTCCTCCCAAACAATGGAGTACATCTCATATCTCCTCCCAAACAATTATACATATACAATGTATTTAAATACATTGTCATATATAATAACCATTTCAATCACATATACAATGTTTATTTCTAACCGTCATACTCAATGACATATTTAAATCGATTAGTTTCAATTTACCTAATCGACATGCAATGTCTACAACAATCATGGCTATCCTCCACCGATAGCCCAAACAGATATATCTAAACAGATAAATAAATGTCTCAACAGATAATTTATCACATTTTCCATAGGTGAGTGATTCATCAATCCAACTACACCATTTAATCATAATATCCTCAAATTTCATGATTTCCAAACCAATTTAATGTTTTCGCATCATTTTCATTATTTATGTAAATAACCTTTATAATTCAAATTAGGACATTTCTCCATTTTTCTCAAATAGTGCACCAAAGACCAAATCTCACCATTTCAACTTTTATACATCATTAACCCCATTTTCAAGGTCTTACATACACATACGGAGCCCAAACAAGGAAACCCTCTCTTTCACAAGTCCAAACTCAAACCCTAACTTTACCCAAACCAACTATTTATACAAAATGACCAACATTTATGTTAAAACCTATATAAAAGAGTAGAATATCCCTACCTCAAGAAGAGAGGACGAGCCAAGCAAGAGATGAGCTCCAAAGATGACGAAACCAATTTCCATTCAGATGAAAATAGAGATCTTGAAATGCTCCAACTTTTTATCAAAGGAAGGAGAGTGAGAAGATCACTAGATCTAGGTCAAAATGTAGAGAGAGAGAGAGAGTATTTTAGAATGAGAAGCTCTCAACTTAGGGTTTTGGAAAGTTTTAGAGAGAGAAATGACAGAAAAAGTGATTTAAAATGTCACTTTCGCAACCTGATATACGTACAGTCCACTCGCGCAGAGAGTTTGACGCTCGAGCGTTAGACACAAAAATTAGACTCGTTCGAGCGCGACAAAGGTCGCTCGAGCGCCAAGAGACAACAGCAAGGCACAACCCGCTTGAGCGTAATGATACCCGCTCGAGCGTAGAATACACTCGTCCAGTATTTTATAGATTTCAGATAATCGCTTGAGCGCCAGAAGAGCCGCTCGATCTCAGACCCGCTCGAGCGTAAGGAACTCCGCTCGAGCGTGAAAAACACTTCTGCAGTATTTCTTGTAGGCGCACAAAGTACTGAAAGATTGCAAACCCCGCTCGAGCGCAAAAGGACCCTGCTCGAACGGAAGACCAAAATTTTAGGCAACAAGGTTGCAGACCATCAACCAACCATCATGTTTTGAACACGCCCAAGACATCCCGAAACTCAAATTCAAAGAGTAAGAGGAGGAAGAGACATAACAACAACCTTAAACCACAAGGCTCGAGTCCGAAACTCCATAACAACCGAGCCAAAAACCGGGATTGCTATATGGTTTCTTCTATTGGTATGATCCACCCACTTGTCCTCGTGGTAGACAAGTGTTGCCGAAGTTGGTGGACAAGATTGCAAGTTTAGAGGAAATGGTAATTTAGATTGCAAGATTGAAAGAGGATGTTCAAACTTATCGCCGTAGAGAGAAATGGATTATAGGTAGATTGCTTGTTGCAGTGATTGTAATTGGAATGTTAACAGTGAGCAGTTAGGAAATGTAGATTATTTAGTTAGCTAGGTAGTTAGCATTTCTGGTTTAGGAAATGTAATGCAACTATGCACTTGCCAATGTGAACTTAATGTATAATTTTGAATGAAATGATAAATCCTTGTTTTTTTGTTTGTAATGTGTGTTTGAATTGTGGTAATGTTTGTTTGGTTGTATATATTTTGTAATGAATTTGATGCATTTGCAAAGCCTGTGCTCTAAATGTGTTTGACAAAATGTCCAAGTGAAGGAAAAACATATAACAAGGTTGTAAAAAACATTGTTGAACCTGTTTCAAACCAATAGACAACACAATCCAAGCATGAATAATAACCATTCAATTGGTCAACCTGTTCCACCTATTCAACTTTTTCCAGGCATGTCAAAAACATATTAGTAACCATTGTTCAACCTGCTCCAAACCAATATACAGCACATTTCAAGCATATATAATAACCATCCAATTGGGTATATCATTGATGTCAACTATGTATAATAACCATCCATATATTGCTCCAAACCAATATACATCTTTCACTATTACAAAAAGAAGCAGTTCACCATCCATAATCTGTCTTCAGGTCACATGACCATTACAAAAAAAACTAATTCATAATTACAACATTCAGTTCACTATGTCTCTATTCACTCTAGCCTAACTACCTAAGGCTTGTTCAACTTCATCCCTTCTCATGGTTACTACTGGTGTTGATGTCCTCCTTGTTGATGCCTTCTGTGGTGACTACTGCTGTTGTCCATGTTGTCTACCAGTTGATGCTACCCCAGCTATTGCATCTAATCTGAATCCCATGAAAGTTTGTCGACTACTCACCTGTTAACAAAAAAATTGTTAAACCACAGTTTGAACATATATGGAGATCAATTACAAGTAGAGCATACCAATACATTACTTACATTATTTGATGAACTTGCAGCTCTATCATTTTTACCCTTGACAAGCCCATTGCATGTTCTTTGATTATGACCATGTACATCACACTTAGAGCATTTCAAGCTGGTACACTTCCTCGACAACTTGAATAGGTTCTAAGGCTCGTCTATGTCTCTAATTCTCTACTTTTGAGGCCTACCAATTGGCCTTTTCAACTTAGGAAGAAGTAAAGGCTCACAACCTGTCTTAGGCCACTGATCTTAGCCATTAAGTGGATTTATCAGTACTTCATAAGTTCTCAAGTAGGTCTCTTTTTTGAAAGTCACATGCACGTAATCCTCAACTCTCTCTTTTTGAAAGAAAATAGCAGTCACAGCATGAGACAAGGGATTCCAATTAGATCCCACTTGAAACAAGTGCATGTCCTATTCTCTAAGTTGACAACACAACCACTTATTCCATATCTAACTTCAAATAGAGCACCCCCTGTTCAAGTAGGTATCCATACTCTAGATTTTACCTTTGACCACTTAATCTTAGTTTGTATATTTGCATATATTGGCCCTTGGTACTTCATCATTTTGTCTCTACATTTATGTAGCCTCACCATCAAAGCCCTCCTGATCCACTCTAACATGGTGAGGATGGATCTATCTCTACCCAATTATTAAAAGACTTTGAAATA